TTCACGTAGATTGTTGTATACCACTTCATTATTTCATTTTGTAAATAATGTATGAATCACGAATATGAAAACCATGCCCTTGATTTACGACATATGACGGTATATATTTGTATCCCAAATCAACCTTCACTTCGAAAGCAAAAGACGGTAAGGAAAGTAAGTGTATTTCACTGTATGATTCGTCACCCTAAAACATATTAATAAAATATTTTTTTTTAAATTCACAGTTAAGCTATGCATATATATTCAGTATGAACATTTATATATTGTGCAATTTTCATAGGAATGACATTTCATTGTATGCACAAAACATTATCAAGAATAATGAACTGCAATGCAGAGTAATTATACTGTAATTATAATTCTATCATTTTATAAATTACAAAAATAAAACTCATTTATTTGAGAAATTACATTTCAAAATCAATGCAAGTGACATTTCTTATCAATATTACGTATAAAACAATTCTCAAACACGTACATGCACGCTTGGACCACTCTGAACAATGATGTGTTTCCTTCATCGTTTTTTTTTTAAATTTTGATGAAGATCACGATTCGTCAGGGTATATATTGTAAAACGACTATCTACATCTGATTTCTGTTATTCCTTTCGTAGAAATCTTTACTTAGTTTCTTAATTTAAGTAGTTGTTTATAAATACATTTTTATCTAAATAGACTCACTATTTGTAACTAAGACCCTATCTTACAAGGTTAACATGTTAACCACGCTACCCCCTACACCCTTCCCCCCGGAAATCCATTAACATCGGGGACAATAGGCTAACCATGCTTTATTCTACAAGCATCTACCTCAGAGTGAATTAGCTGTGGATATTAAACTCTATTTATATTTCTAAAAATTTTTAATTTACAAAGAAAATGAGACTCATTTATTTATCTAATATTTTAAAATAGATTTTGTGGAAAATTAAGATTCTTAAAAGGTGTATGTTGTAAAAGGACTATGTACACATTATTTCTGTTATTCTTTTCGTAGAGATCTTTCCTACAACAAAATCACTACAATACAGGACAATGCCTTCGCCAGCTTATACAATTTACGTGAACTGTAAGTAATCCAGTACGTATTGTAACAGAAACTGATATATACTGTATGTTCTATAAACGTCTACAACAATGTCTGCTAGTGAACAATTTTCTTCCAACACTCTACTTTTGTGTTGATACATTTTTGATTGCAATTGGAGCTTCTTTCAATTTTAGTTGAAAATTAAAAAACAAAAAACAATAAATTTTCAAATGACGTTCAAACAACCGATATTTTATTAAAGAACAAAAAATATGCACATGGTAAAGACAAATACTAGTATATAAAGTGTTTTATATTTGTAAATTTCACATAGCTACATCTTTACGATGAACCCATACGAGTTTAAATGTACTTTTGTTTTTGGATTCCTCCATATATATTTTTCTTACTACTCAGTATACTGTTTGAAACTAATCGAAAAATTACCAGCATGCTCATAACAGAAAACATGAAATATCTCTCAAGGAATCCGTTTTCAGGGGTAAAATTAGCTGTAATATTTTTTTTATTGTTTTTGTTATACATGTTATAGACGATTATTTTAATTTGTTGAATTCGGTTTTCACGTAGATTGTTGTATACCACTTCACTGCTAATTGTGCCACGTATGTGTTACATATGGTTGTACATAACACATGTATCACGTATGTGAAATGTACATATCACATACGTGTATTACAAACATACGTTTCACGTGTGTGGTACAACGTACGTATAACATATGTGTGACGACATACGTTTCAAATAACGTACGTAAAACGTATGTTTGGAAATCACGTATGTGTAACATACGTGAAACGTACGTGTAACATATATTATGTGCAACCATACGTTACACGTAAGTTAATAAACGTACGGTTTACATGTGTATTGTCAACCACATGTTACACGTACATTAATTAACATATGGTTTATATGTGTATAGTCAACCACATATTACACGTACGTTAATGAACACATGGTTTACATGTGTATAGTCAACCACATGTAACATATACGTTAATGAACTCATGGTTTACATGTGTTATATAAAGCACAAATGTCATGTATATATATAATTTATGTGTATTATAACCACACATTAAATATACAAATGGACATAAACAAATTTTGGTTAACTTGTATTCTAAAGCTCTCATTACATATATGTTGATGAATATAGTATGTGTATTATCAGGCACATGTTACATATACATTTGCATTTATATATTGTGCAATTTTCATAGGAATGACATTTTATCGATGCACAAAAAAATTATCAAGAATAATGAACTGCAATGCAGAGAAATTATACTGTAGTTATAATTCTATTATTTTATAAATTACAAAAATAAAACTCATTTATTTGAGAAATTACATTTCAAAATCAATGCAAGTGACATTTCTTATCAATATTACGTATAAAACAATTCTCAAACACGTACATGCACGCTTGGACCACTCTGAACAATGATGTGTTTCCTTCATCGTTTTTTTTTTAAATTTTGATGAAGATCACGATTCGTCAGGGTATATATTGTAAAACGACTATCTACATCTGATTTCTGTTATTCCTTTCGTAGAAATCTTTACTTAGTTTCTTAATTTAAGTAGTTGTTTATAAATACATTTTTATCTAAATAGACTCACTATTTGTAACTAAGACCCTATCTTACAAGGTTAACATGTTAACCACGCTACCCCCTACACCCTTCCCCCCGGAAATCCATTAACATCGGGGACAATAGGCTAACCATGCTTTATTCTACAAGCATCTACCTCAGAGTGAATTAGCTGTGGATATTAAACTCTATTTATATTTCTAAAAATTTTTAATTTACAAAGAAAATGAGACTCATTTATTTATCTAATATTTTAAAATAGATTTTGTGGAAAATTAAGATTCTTAAAAGGTGTATGTTGTAAAAGGACTATGTACACATTATTTCTGTTATTCTTTTCGTAGAGATCTTTCCTACAACAAAATCACTACAATACAGGACAATGCCTTCGCCAGCTTATACAATTTACGTGAACTGTAAGTAATCCAGTACGTATTGTAACAGAAACTGATATATACTGTATGTTCTATAAACGTCTACAACAATGTCTGCTAGTGAACAATTTTCTTCCAACACTCTACTTTTGTGTTGATACATTTTTGATTGCAATTGGAGCTTCTTTCAATTTTAGTTGAAAATTAAAAAACAAAAAACAATAAATTTTCAAATGACGTTCAAACAACCGATATTTTATTAAAGAACAAAAAATATGCACATGGTAAAGACAAATACTAGTATATAAAGTGTTTTATATTTGTAAATTTCACATAGCTACATCTTTACGATGAACCCATACGAGTTTAAATGTACTTTTGTTTTTGGATTCCTCCATATATATTTTTCTTACTACTCAGTATACTGTTTGAAACTAATCGAAAAATTACCAGCATGCTCATAACAGAAAACATGAAATATCTCTCAAGGAATCCGTTTTCAGGGGTAAAATTAGCTGTAATATTTTTTTTATTGTTTTTGTTATACATGTTATAGACGATTATTTTAATTTGTTGAATTCGGTTTTCACGTAGATTGTTGTATACCACTTCACTGCTAATTGTGCCACGTATGTGTTACATATGGTTGTACATAACACATGTATCACGTATGTGAAATGTACATATCACATACGTGTATTACAAACATACGTTTCACGTGTGTGGTACAACGTACGTATAACATATGTGTGACGACATACGTTTCAAATAACGTACGTAAAACGTATGTTTGGAAATCACGTATGTGTAACATACGTGAAACGTACGTGTAACATATATTATGTGCAACCATACGTTACACGTAAGTTAATAAACGTACGGTTTACATGTGTATTGTCAACCACATGTTACACGTACATTAATTAACATATGGTTTATATGTGTATAGTCAACCACATATTACACGTACGTTAATGAACACATGGTTTACATGTGTATAGTCAACCACATGTAACATATACGTTAATGAACTCATGGTTTACATGTGTTTTATAAAGCACAAATGTCATGTATATATATAATTTATGTGTATTATAACCACACATTAAATATACAAATGGACATAAACAAATTTTGGTTAACTTGTATTCTAAAGCTCTCATTACATATATGTTGATGAATATAGTATGTGTATTATCAGGCACATGTTACATATACATTTGCATTTATATATTGTGCAATTTTCATAGGAATGACATTTTATCGATGCACAAAAAAATTATCAAGAATAATGAACTGCAATGCAGAGAAATTATACTGTAGTTATAATTCTATTATTTTATAAATTACAAAAATAAAACTCATTTATTTGAGAAATTACATTTCAAAATCAATGCAAGTGACATTTCTTATCAATATTACGTATCAAACAATTCTCAAACACGTACATGCACGCTTGGACCACTCTGAACAATGATGTGTTTCCTTCATCGTTTTTTTTTTAAATTTTGATGAAGATCACGATTCGTCAGGGTATATATTGTAAAACGACTATCTACATCTGATTTCTGTTATTCCTTTCGTAGAAATCTTTACTTAGTTTCTTAATTTAAGTAGTTGTTTATAAATACATTTTTATCTAAATAGACTCACTATTTGTAACTAAGACCCTATCTTACAAGGTTAACATGTTAACCACGCTACCCCCTACACCCTTCCCCCCGGAAATCCATTAACATCGGGGACAATAGGCTAACCATGCTTTATTCTACAAGCATCTACCTCAGAGTGAATTAGCTGTGGATATTAAACTCTATTTATATTTCTAAAAATTTTTAATTTACAAAGAAAATGAGACTCATTTATTTATCTAATATTTTAAAATAGATTTTGTGGAAAATTAAGATTCTTAAAAGGTGTATGTTGTAAAAGGACTATGTACACATTATTTCTGTTATTCTTTTCGTAGAGATCTTTCCTACAACAAAATCACTACAATACAGGACAATGCCTTCGCCAGCTTATACAATTTACGTGAACTGTAAGTAATCCAGTACGTATTGTAACAGAAACTGATATATACTGTATGTTCTATAAACGTCTACAACAATGTCTGCTAGTGAACAATTTTCTTCCAACACTCTACTTTTGTGTTGATACATTTTTGATTGCAATTGGAGCTTCTTTCAATTTTAGTTGAAAATTAAAAAACAAAAAACAATAAATTTTCAAATGACGTTCAAACAACCGATATTTTATTAAAGAACAAAAAATATGCACATGGTAAAGACAAATACTAGTATATAAAGTGTTTTATATTTGTAAATTTCACATAGCTACATCTTTACGATGAACCCATACGAGTTTAAATGTACTTTTGTTTTTGGATTCCTCCATATATATTTTTCTTACTACTCAGTATACTGTTTGAAACTAATCGAAAAATTACCAGCATGCTCATAACAGAAAACATGAAATATCTCTCAAGGAATCCGTTTTCAGGGGTAAAATTAGCTGTAATATTTTTTTTATTGTTTTTGTTATACATGTTATAGACGATTATTTTAATTTGTTGAATTCGGTTTTCACGTAGATTGTTGTATACCACTTCACTGCTAATTGTGCCACGTATGTGTTACATATGGTTGTACATAACACATGTATCACGTATGTGAAATGTACATATCACATACGTGTATTACAAACATACGTTTCACGTGTGTGGTACAACGTACGTATAACATATGTGTGACGACATACGTTTCAAATAACGTACGTAAAACGTATGTTTGGAAATCACGTATGTGTAACATACGTGAAACGTACGTGTAACATATATTATGTGCAACCATACGTTACACGTAAGTTAATAAACGTACGGTTTACATGTGTATTGTCAACCACATGTTACACGTACATTAATTAACATATGGTTTATATGTGTATAGTCAACCACATATTACACGTACGTTAATGAACACATGGTTTACATGTGTATAGTCAACAACATGTAACATATACGTTAATGAACTCATGGTTTACATGTGTTTTATAAAGCACAAATGTCATGTATATATATAATTTATGTGTATTATAACCACACATTAAATATACAAATGGACATAAACAAATTTTGGTTAACTTGTATTCTAAAGCTCTCATTACATATATGTTGGTGAATATAGTATGTGTATTATCAGGCACATGTTACATATACATTTAAAAAGGTGTTTTACATGATTGCAAAAAGCTAAGTTTGAGAATGAGAAGGCTGTTTATTTTGTAAATTCATACTATTACATACATGTATGATAAATGTAGGTTGACAATAAATCTAATCCTTTTTACTTTATTTCAAATTTAATTTATTAATCAAATTATCATTTTGTTTTTGCTATAAAGAAAAAAAAAACAATGCATTAAACATTTATTGTTCCTAGGGACTACATAATTTCGCTTAAAATACAGGAACTTTATGTATAAAGGTATGGCGGACTTCCACAACTAATTCTTTTCTTTAATAGTTTAAGTGATTTTGGAGAACTTATCAAGATATTATCTAACATAACAATCAATAGGAACTTAGGGCTTAACCTGTTTTCAGGAAGAGGAGCAATCATAGTGATATGACCATCTGTAAAGTCCTTCTTATAACATGTATAATGGGTCCTTAGAGCAGAAGTTGCATGTATTTTAATAATTATAATATTTTAAAATCTAAAATATATGTTTTTGACATAAACATTATTATGATATTTGGTTATACTCAATCACAACTGAAGCATACATATGTGTGCGTTGTTAACTTGTCGTGTGTGTTTTGCGTATCTAATGTTTCAATTTATTTCACATTGTTTACCTCATGTACCTTACGTCCACTTTCATGTCTGGCATGATATTATCAGTTCGCATTGGTTTGAAATTTACTCTAAAAACAGTTAACAAAGTTTACATAAAAAGTTCTCCAACCTCGTCATGTGTATCGGATATCGGTAGAGGCATATAAAATTAAACTCGGTCGTCGGTAGATATAATCAATCCGAATTCAAGAGCAAAAATATATTTTTTAAAGAAAGAAAGAAATTCATGATAATTTCACAACAAATCACAAAAGGGAGTAAATGATTCACCTAGATAATTATCAAATATACAGTGGGTACCGTCCGTATAAAATATACCTTCCGGAATTTTCCAGCCTCCATTTATGTTTTACATGTACGTTACCACTGACGTCACTGGAAAGAGAAGTCTGACGTCTCCAAGTTCTAGGGCCTAGATTACGGTGAGGAATGCATAAAATCAACAATTATTTAATTAATTTATGTTTGTGTGTTGCATTTTAACTAAGGGGCAGGGTTTTTTTTCAGTGTATTACATAATGGAGACTTGGGTTACCAAAAACAAAAAATATATTGACCATGTTTAGGCACTAAGCTGTCTTGGTCAGCACCCAGGTGTATCCATCAACACGGGGCACGTTAAATCAAAATGCAGATGAAGTTTAAAAATACTGTAACAACAATTAAGCTTTTATTTAAAATGTTTTTTAACCTTAAAAATAAGATCCAAAAAAAATGAAACAACAACAATTTGATGTAATGTTCCACTTACTGAATTTATTTCTTTTTACAGTATTTAAAACATCACATTAGATGGTAAAGGAAATTATTATCTTTGAGTGCAATAATGGTGTAACAGTTTTGTTTTCACGTATCTGCCCTTTTTTATCCTTATGAATATAAATTGTGTTTGAGATTGTGAATTTTGTTATGTGATTTTAAATAAGCATTTCAGGATGGTGACTGAAGCTCATCTTTGTAAACACCTAAATGCCTACAATGGACTCCAAAACAGATTCTTAAAGTTTAACCAGTATAATCTTGGATATGGTAATACTTTTAAAAAGGAATAAGATTTTCTGAACATATTTCTTTTAGACTTGCAAATAGCCAAATACTACATTTAACTTGAAGCTTTTCATGTAAAATTTAAAATGCAATCGAGTTTGACGAGTTTCACACTACTAAAAGTTATCTCCCTTTGTCGGCATAACTCTAATTTTTCCCGATTTGTCCTTTGGAAATTACCTGTTATTATTTTCAATCTCCAAACATTATTGAACAATTTAGATCTGTACCTGTATTGCCAAAGTTTGGGGCAACATGAAAATCTAAATGAACATATTCATTACATATTTAATTTTTAAGATACTGACCAATAAATTTGGTAAGGTTACAGAGGGAAAACAGGGCCTTACGCTGGATTGACCCCGCAAAGGGGAATAACTTTTGTAAATTTTAATGTGAAAGTCGTTTATTTTTTTTAACATATAATTTTTTTTAACCTCATGGACAAAAAGTATAACTTGGAACACACAAAAAACAGATGGGTCAATGCCAAGCAAAAGATTAATGCAGAAGGTAAGTTCAATTTTTCATTTCGTTATTCTTCTGGTTTTATCCAGATCGGACCTTACATATAAGTTAAGTCAGCTTCATGCAGTATATAATAGAAGGATATGGAGATAATGAACAGTATATTCAATCTCAAAGTCCATAAGACAATACCAAATAAGAGCAAAGCAAACACAGACCTCCGAAACATCAGAGGTGGGATCAGGTGCCATAATAAAACACCTATTTACTTACTATTCGGATAATAGCTTGTTTATCATCTCCCTCAACTGCAAACTATTTCCCTCGGCTGCATCTTGGGGAATAAATGCTGTCTTGGGGACGATAAACTAGCTTTTGTCCTCATAGCCAGTAAATAGGTGTACATGTATACTGTTTTTAGCTCTTTTGTGCGCTGTGCATAACATTTTTAGAATTGGGCCATAACTCAAGATCCCCTTGGACAGTCATTGTCAAATTTGTCACAGGGCATCCTTGGCCAAAGGGCTACCATTTATACTAAAACTAGGGTTTGGACCCTTATACAAGGAGAGATAAATAGGAAAATAAAACCAAAAGAAGTCTATATTGGCCTAGAATTGTTAAACTTTGTCAGTTGAGGCATCTTGGGTTTTTGGAGAATGTCGACCAAAAAGTAGGTCACCATGACCTACTTATGGTATTTATAGCTCTGTTGAAATATCTTCAGTCCTAACTTGCTAAGAATCATAAAATTTTCTTGGTTGAGGTATTTTGGGTTTTATAAACATAGAGGCTTCAAATACTAGTGATAGATTGTACAATTTATTAGAAGAGCGATTCAAGTTTCTTGTTGTCCATTGTCATACACTGTGCTCTGTCTGGTAAAATTTAAGCATTTACAGCCCCCCCCCCACCATCACCCAAACTAAGTGGGAGGGGATTTAACCCATCAAACTTATTCAAATCTAATTTTTTTTAATTAGACATAAAGCAAACTATTAGCAAGCTTTTAATAAGCATTGAGTCCTACTAAAATTATGAAAATCATATGGCCCCAGGGTAAGTGGATCAGATGTAAAGGCACAGCTTTATTAATTAATCATAAACTGAAAATGCATTGATTCATTGAAAATTTATATAATGCTCCTAAGTTGAAAGCAAAATGACTAAGTTCATGACAATTAGAAATAAGTTTTATACTAGGGATGTCAATTTTTCTCGGACAGCTTAGTCGAATAGTCGGATGCTTTAATCGAACGATCGTCGAATATTCGTTTAATTTTAATAATTTTTTCACATCATCACCATTGTTTGTCTTTAACAGACTAGTTTACAATATTCAACCTATGCTATCAACATTATACAACGAATAACTGAATTGTAAACATGTACGTAGTACAATAAAAACAGTACATCAATATGTATCCAATGTATTTAATTTAAAAATTAATATATTTTCTGCACATTTGATCTAAATACATGCTATATAAAGCTCGTGTTTGTCCTTTTTTACATAACGGTAGTACATATACCCCATAATTGAAGCCAATTTCTACGTGTCCGTCAATGATCTTTGACAGGTAAACAATTAAAGCCTAGGTCTCCTATACAAAACAAAGAGTGAGGGATAGCTTGGGATAAATTTTGATTATGAAATTTTGTGCAAACAGTCAATGATTGCATGAAATTAATATCAGAAAAAAGATATCAGAAAAATAAAACATGGTTTAATTACTTTTATAACTTGTATTTTATAGATATGTTTGCCGAAATTAAATCGACGTACAAATACAGAGAAATAATTTCCTTTGAACAGTTAAACGATATCCTTAATTTTTACATATGAAAATAATGATCTATAAATAAATGAAATGGGCAAATATAAGTTTATAGCCTTGAATTCCAAATTACTTTGATGAAACACATTTTTAAAGAATAATCGACTAAAGAAATTTTAGTCGATAGTCGGTATGATCGAACGATAGTCGAGTACTCGAATATTCGTTGACATCCCTATTTTATACCCCTATAATCAAAGATTCTGGGATACATCCATATAGCTTTTGCCTTGTCTGTCTGTCTGCAAAATCTTTTCAAATTTGCCATATTATTTTAGTGGGTGAAAGTATGGCCTTCATATTTCATAGACCTGGGTATTCATTGTGACAATACTTTTGTATTGGTACACCAAATTAACCTTTGAATTGAACTTGGAGTATGACTCACTTTTAAGAAAGATTCATTACTTGAATCTTGGCCTTTACTTTTGAACAGTCATGAGTTAGTGCAAGGGCTTTCATACTTCACTTGTGTATTTACTGTGACAAGACCTTTCAATGGGTATAAATTAAAATATTTGACCTTGAACTTCTAGTTTAACCCACTGTTAAAAAACTTTAACTTTGAACATAACTTTTGAGATGAAAGTAGTAGGGCTTTCATATTTCACAGATTTATTCGTTGTGACAAGTCCTTTCTTCGATGTCAACAATTTTGACCTTTGACCTTGACTTTGGAGTTTGACTTGTACTTGGGAAACTTTAACCATAAGCTGGCATATAGGGTATCAGTACGTATAAATACATCTTTTTTCCGAGTTCACCCACAAATCAATGCTATGTAATGAATTTTAGATAAGAGAATTACAAGGTAGATATTTTAGGCTATAGTGTAAAATAGTTTAAAAGTTCATGGTTATGAATACTAAAAAATTAATTTATTGTTATTTAGTATTTATATTTAAGTTCTACAGAGAATCAACCAGGATTAATATGTGGATAATAATAATGTTCAAGGGAAAAAAAATGGGTTTTCCCTTATTCTATGCATTTAATATTTTCTTTTTTCTTTACAGATAAAAGAGAAATGAAGAAGAATGAATTGATGTAAACAAACTCAACATTAAATTTGGCTTAAATCTAAATTTGTCTTTTGTTGTGATTGCTTCAAGAGCAATTAGGATCAGGAAATTTAAAGTGAAGGATAACCAGGCAGAAAGTGGATCATTCAACAGATGAAAAGAAAATCAGCCTTTGAGGGAAATTATGTCAAATGCATGAATTGAATATTTAAATTGCACGTAATTTTTGTTTCAACAACGTTTACAATATGTGAAAAAAATGTTCAAAACATGTGTTTAACCATGGTTTGACACATTTTTATATGGTATTTATACATTTACAATATGAGCAGTGCAAATAATAAACCAATTAAACATGTTATGAGAAACATATGTTACACACAAGTTGCACGTACCATATTATGTATATGTGAAACGTATGAGTAACATACGTGTGCAATATATGTGTAACGTATGGTAGGCAATACGTACGTTTAACATAAGTGACATGCATGATATTCACTCGTGTGAAAACATACGTATAACATACATGGTGCTTTTTTAATAGAAAACGTACATGAAATCACGTACGTGTCACATACGTTTAACATACGTGAAACGTACGTGGCACAATTACCTGTGTTGAGTATTTCATTATTGTAAATAACATTTGAACCACGAATATGAAAAAACATGCCCTAAAGATACGACATGTGACGGTATATACTTGTATTCCAAATCACTTCAAATAATTGAACTGTTTTTAAAGAAATAGCAAAATTCATAATTTTTAGCAAAAGACGGTAATGGAAGTAATTGTGTGTTATTCTATAATTCGTCGCCCCTAACAAATAATAATAAAATAACAATTTTTTTTAAAATTCACAGTTAACCTATACACATATTTTCAGTATGTACCTGTATATCTTGTGCAATTTTTTCCTTTCTTAGAGATCTTTACGGAAACGAAATCACCACGATACAAGACAATGTTTTCGCCAGCTTGTACAATTTACGTAAACTGTAAGTATGTTCTAGTATTTATTGTAACAGAAATCGTTATATATGTTCACTAAATGTCTATCACATTCTCTGCTATTGAATCATTTTCTACAAATATTTAACTTTTTCTTTCAAACATTTTTGGTTAAAGTTAGATTTGGTGTCAATTTTAGTTCAAGAATCTTTGAAAAAGAGAAGATTTTAAATAATATTCAACCAAATAATATTTTATTCAACAACACAAAATATTCAAACGCTTTAGACAATTACATATGGTGCTTAATATATTTTTTTAATTTAACATAGCTGCCGGTACATCTTTATGATGAACCCATTCGAATCTAAATGTGCTTGTGATTTAAGAAATAATATAAAGTCCGCGTTTTCGTGAATGTTGCAGAATAACCTCCGAGGTCGACAAATGTTTTTTGAAAGATAAAAGCCGAGGCGTTAGCCGAGGCTTTTATATTTTAAACAACATTTTGAGACCGAGGAGGTTCTTCTGCATCATTCACGACAACAAGGACGTTATTTCTATTCTGCAAAGATCGATAAACATGGCTGATCGTTTCCTCTATAGAGAAACGAATTGGGTCACATGTCTCGATTTCGCTATTTCATTTAACACCAGAGGTAAAATTTGTTTGCTTACCTGTGTATAGAATGCAGACGATTTGAGCTTTCATTATATTAAAAACAGCCTTTTTAGATTATAAATATGTTCGTAATATATATTGATCAGTTAGAATGAATATACAATTGTATAACAAAATCATATTCCTGTTTTAATTACTGCTAAAATCACGTTGTTTAATGTGTTGGGAGGTCCGTGGAATAGCCCCGCTTAGCTATAAAAACCGACATTCATCAGCAACCTGATGCAATTTACAGTGTTTTTACTGCAAAAGACGACACATCGATGCGGTCTAAACAAGTATTTCATTCTACAGCCAAACATGCATTTGAATTGTTCAGATTTGATACGTGTTTCTGATCTGATAATTTTTTGATGACGTTCGTGATTTATTGGAGAATAATGTCCGGCGGTTTCCTTTGAAGTTTTCAATAATCGTGGTAGAATGTTGAATCCCTCTATGTTTTTTACCATAATGTTTGAAACTGATTGGAGAATTACCAGTAGGTTTATGAACTAATATTTCAAATTTAATCGCTCCTGAAATCTGCTGTCAGAAGTAACATCAGCTGTATTACTTTAAATATTGTTTTTGTTAATTTTTTGTTAATTTGTTTAATTTGTTTTTCACATAATTTTTTGTACATTTGTGTATACACCTACCACTCCTCCTTTGTAAATAATGTATGATGCACAAATATGAAACGCATGCCATTAATTTACAACCTGTGCCGATATATACGAGGGTCATTCAAAAAATACGTAGACAATGCTTCTCATCGTCATATGATTATTACAAGATTATAGATCAACACATTTTCGTAAACATTAACATTTATTTTGTCGAAGTGTGAAGTTTCATTCCATTTGATTAAACATAACTCACGTTAGCCAAAATTAAAAGCGACATGTTTTGTTACCACGGAGCACGGTTAACCAATATTGTAACGTCAAAAACAACGGTGAGAAAGTTTGCCAAAAGTATACACATTTTTGTTCTTTCAAACACGGTTTGTTGCGTCTTCTCCATTCAAAACAATAATCCACAATACTTAACACCTGGTTTGCTAACAATTGTACAAATATAGCTTGAATTAGAATGTTATTGTTTTCAAATTCTTTGATTTACCATGCAACTTTATTATTTCTTCAACATTGAAGCACACATCACGTTCAATGACGTTCCTAACTCTTTTGACAATATTTTTAACTTTAACCTGTTTCTTTGCAGACAATCCAAAGTCCGATTCAAACTTGCAACCACTCAAAAATTGTATTTTCAACTAAATACAAATACACAGATTTTTTTCTATACAGATCCTGATTTATAAGGATTTTTTAAGCTTGTAGAAAAAGTTTCCCGAATGTAAAGTCTGATTTTATTGCTACTTGCTGCTCCGTGACGTCCTCCAGCGTCATGGTTTTTTGTCTTTTTTAATCAAGTCCATATGTATTTAGAAGCTGATATCTTTTAAATGCAACGAGATATTACATAACCTGATTTCATCTTAATTAATACACCAATACTTTATCTAAACATGTAAATTTTATTTCGTTTTAGCTCCATTTATTAGAGGTATAGCAGTAAATACTATAAAGTGAAAATTAGAAAATTACTCAATTTTGACGGTGCTCCGTGACCCCATTTTTGCTGTTCTAAATCCTTGGTAATTTTAATAAATATGAGGATACATTCCAATTTTTTTACTCAAATTATTTGAATCTGTTGTTAAAATAATTGTACCAAATTTGGATATAATATGACGTTAAATAAAAAAACGAACTTTTTGAATGACCCTAGTATATTTATTGTACGACAACCTTTACTTAAAATAATTGAACTGAAATAATAAAATAAATATTAAATTCACAACTTTGAGCATAAGACAATATTGGAGGTAACTGTATGTCTTTTATGATAAGTCGTCCCTTAATTATATAATAAAAATCAATGTTTTTTTTTAAATTGGCAGTTTAGATATGCATATGTGTTTCAGTATATACTTGTGCATGTTGTTAAATATTAATATGGGTCACATATTTTTGCATGCACAAAACTTTATCAAGAATAATGAACTGCAATGCAGAGTATTTATATTATATTTATATTTCCAACACTTTAGCAATTACATAAAAAATAGAACTTAGAGAAAGTACATTTCAAAATCAATGCAAGAGACAAAAGGCAATCAATATAACGTATAAAAAGTATTCCAATCGATGCTTGCAGGGCTCTGAGCAATTTATGGTTTTGTTTATCACATTTTTTCTATGAACTTTGCTGAAAATCAAGATTCTTAAAGGATGTATGTTTTATAGGAATATCTACACTGTATTTCTTTATTCTTTTCTTAGAGATCTTGCCAACAACGAAATCACCACAATACAGGACAATGTCTTCGCCAGCTTATACAATTTAAGTGTCCTGTAAGTATGCCAAGTACTTATTGTAACAGAAACTGATATATATGTCCTATAAACGTCTACCTCAGTGTCTGCTAGTGAATCATCTACCAATTTTTTATATTAATTTGCGTTCATAAATTTTTGATTACAATTGAAGTTTCTTCCAATTTTATTAAAAAGCTTAAAAAAAAAACAATGATTTTCAAAAAATATTTAAAAAAAAACAATATTTTATTCAACAACAAAAAATATTTACATGGTAATGACAAATACATATTGTGCTTTACACTTGTTAATTTAGCATAGCTTCCTCTTTTCGATGAACCCATTCGAGTTTTAATGTGCTTTTGTTTTTTGGATCCCTCTCTATATATCTTTATTACTATACTGTTTGAAACTTATCGAAGAATTGCCAGCATGCTCATAAAAGAAAACATGAAATATAATCTCTTAAGGAATCCGTTCTCAGGGGTAAAATCAGCTGTAATACTTTTATTATTGCTTTTGTTATAGACGACTTTTTTAATTTGTTTAATTCGGTTTTCACGTAGATTGTTGCACAGGTGTTTTGGGTCGGGATCCCACCTCCTTTTCCGTGTTCCGTACTCCAAGGGTTCTTTGATCTTTTTGATTGAAATATATTTCTATGACATATTCACAAAGTATTTCTACTAAAAAATCTAGAAATTTAAGCTAAAACTAGCCTTTTATAAAAATCCATACCCTACGATTCGGACTCTATGAGGTCGAGCATTATCATCCATAAAGATGAAATCTTCCCCCAGAGTATATGCAATACGTCTTACAAAAAGATGAAGAATATGATTTAGGTATTTTGGGAAGTTTCTAGTATGCCGGTCCCCAGAATCACGCGATTGCACATGAGCAGTTATTTCCCTTGCCGTTGCTATGCAGAATGTAAACAAACACAATTTCCCACTCGCTTCAACAAAACGCATCCGATCGAGTGATTAGGGTTAGGTTACATAGTTTTTAAAATAGGGGTTGTTTTATAAATCCACTCTGTAATCTTTCTGACTTTGAGCTAATTTATGTAATTCTTGCTTACAAAAGGCCTGCACTACTATGAGTGCCTTTTGCAATTTTGTGACCAAAAACTTCATGAAATTTTTGCTTTACAAAGAACAGGAAAGTTTTGTAAATGAAAGTTCGGATAAATCAATTGTTATACAAGTATCGAAACGTGACGAAACAGCGCTGAGTTTAGGCAAGTTTTGGTAAAAGAGACTTACCGTTAACTGCAGCTCGATATCCGGTATCCTGACCTCCTAATGTCTAAATATTCAGAATATTTTTCCTTTCAAATCGATGATGATGCACAATTCAATCCATCAATGACTAGTAATTAGCTAACATTTGTTAAATCCCTGTATTTCTCACAAAAATCTCGCAATTTTAATAGCATTGCACTTTGAGTCCTATCAGGCATTTCCTCATTACGTCAAAGTACAAGTGACGCATCTCATGAATATTTATGTGATTACGTCAAAAACTAATCATGTGACCACATTCCTAAACAACGCAAGATGGAGTTTTGCTTCCTAAACAAGTACGTTATTTTACGAAATCTTTTAATTTTCATTTAAAAACTGTGTTTAAAAACCAGTTTTTTAAACCTAATTTTTGACAAGGAACATGAATTTGTGGTCAATTTTGCAATTTTTTGCTTCTTTTTCGATATTGTCGATCGCTCACGCGATCGTCTATATATTTTAAACCGCCTTCGGAGGCACCAATTTTATCGCCATATTTATTGGGACCGGTATACTAGAAGTGCTCCGGTATTTTAAAACTGTCAGGTTGCCTTCATTAATGTGCAAATCAGGTTTGCAGTCAATACTTATGCCTGCCAAAATCATAACCAAACCTTCATTTTCTGTGTATTGCTCAGAAATGACATAATCAGCATATCTTTACCCATTTGCAATCCAAAACAAGTCTTCTGTCATCGTGGAAGTCAAAACAAAATCACGACTCGTCTTAGAAGAGAATAGAACACCAATGACGTCATTGCCAAATTTTGGTGTTCTGTTGGCCAGTGTAGTGGATTTCTGTGGCTCTCTAATCTTAATACAGGACGTACGGCTGGTCGGCAAGTCTTTTTCAAACTGTTTGAGTAGAATCCGTCTGCGCATTGCTTTCTGATGCCCAGTATTAAGCTTAAGAGCACGTTGGAAGCGATGCGTCTTAGCAAAATTGGCCAAATAACTATTCTCAAGGACTACCGTACACCTTGGACGTCCCTATTTTATCCTTTTTTTGAAAATTATCTGCCTGTATATATCGGTTCAATAACCGTTAATTCTACTTTGGATAATGTCTTTCTGCAACGTGGCGTTGCGTTTTGCCAGCTTCCTGATTTTCTTGTATTCCCAAAAGAAAACCCTCTTTGATACTTCTACGTTTTCATTGTTCCATTTACTTTTTTAACGCCACGAACTTTCTTGACCAATACGAGGGTTGTCCCAAAAAGTCATAGACAATATTTATAACTTTTTTAACACGCAACCAATACTAACCAAATTTTGCATAGACATAGCATATTCAATGTTCTTTAAAACTGTGAATGCTTAAATATAAATTTTTCATATTAATAATATTGGCACGATTAATATGAAGGCCGATATGGTCTGTCAATGCACGAACAAAATTCGGAATAATTTACGTATATAACTATTGCATTTGCTTTATTTCTTTGGTGCTCTGTAAAAGATAGTACTCAAATTTAAATCATTGAAATCAGAATCGAAATCTTAATAATATATCAAATTTTCATATAAATAGCTTTAGAAATAGGCGACTTTTGTCATGGATTTCAAAGTGTTGATTGAATTGAGATTGATGAAAATGACGTCATCATACACGTAACCGGCGCACGGAAATCATTTTTATGGTTTGTTTTATAAACATCAGAGACTTGAAAAAAGAGTACATAAAGGACATTACACATTAGATTTTATTATAGAGAAGTTCTCAAATGGCATGCGATTTAATGATAGCTTTTCCTCTAGATCGAAAAAATAGGTACTGCACGTAGAAAGTAGAGTACTGTGTGTTAAACGCAGACAGTTGGGAACATTCTGGGCCACGACGTCTGGGCCATGAACGTCGTCAAACAAGGTGTAATCTCTGCTGCCTGAAATGTAAGGTGGTCCTTAGTGTTAATTTTGACTAAGATTTTAATCTACTTTAAAAAACGGACAGTAGTAAATTTATATAAGTCCCTTAATCAAGAGTGTTTTTTTTTCACTTTAAAAAATATCCCTTTGGATATTAATAGACGCATGCATTTGAAGCAAAAAATATATTTTTAATTTTATTAGAGACGTAAATTCTGGCTTTCGTACGCCGAAGTACACTTACATGGTTTTCATAATTTTTGAATAGTTTTCTTATTTAATGTAGTATCATCATGAAACTTGAAAAACTTGATCATAAAATGTTACTTTTTGCTATGACAAGAAAAAAAATTTGATTAGCAAAGAAAAAATAAACTTTGTTCTCTGTCTACGACTTTCTTGGGCAACCCTCGTATGTCTCAAAACTCATTAAACACGTGTGACTTAAGTATCGAATCGTGTAAATGACATGTTTTTAAAACTACTTAAGCCTTGTTGTCACATAAATTCATGTTTATGAAAATAATATTCTTGTGTAAAAGTATGATTCCTAACCTATTTTGCCAAGTATTTATACATTGATATACAACCTGTGAAGGTGCATATATTGTTCTGCAACAAAAAATTAAATTGGAGTAAACTTTAAAATAATTGGTAAATTTCATAATCATAGGTACATATGTGTATTTTAAACATTTTATAGAACAGGATTATCCAATAAAACTCTAATCCATGCACACAGAGTGTCTGGTGAAAGTGTCATGTTCCCCAACGTAATATAAAAAAAGAGTTCAAGATAATTTCAGTCATGAATATTGGTAATGATTTTTTTCAAAATAAAACAAAAAATACTAAAGAGAAACGCTATTTTTCACCTGTATCACATTTTCAAAGCAAACAAATCCTAACAAAAAAAAAATACTATAGTTAACTATAGTTTACTATAGTTAACTATAGTTATAACTTTGACACTTTGAAAACTTTGACAAAAACTTTGATACTTTGAAAAACTTTAGCGAAAACTTTGACACTTTGAAAAACTTTGGCAAAAACTTTGACACCTTGAAAAACTCTGACGAAAACTTTGACACTTTGAAAAACTTTGGCGAAAACTTTGACACTTTGAAAAACTTTGGCAAAAACTTTGACACTTTGAAAAACTTCGGCGAAAACTTTGACACTTTGAAAAACTTTGGCGAAATCTTTGATACTTTGAAAAACTTTGACAAAAACTTTGACACTTTGAAAAACTTTGACAAAAACTTTGACACATTGAAAAACTTTGGCGAAAACTTTGACACTTTGAAAAACTTTGGTGAAAACTTTGACACCTTGAAAAACTTGGATACTTTAACACTTCGAAAAACTTTATCGAAGACTTTGACACTTTGAAAAAGTTAATCGAAAACTTTAACACTTTAAAAAACTTTATTGAAAACTTTGACACTTTAAAAATCTTTATTGAAGACTTTGATACTTTGAAAAACTTTATCAAAAACTTTAACACTTTGAAAAACTTTATCGAAAACTTTGATACTTTTAATCACTTTATCGAAAACTTTGATACTTCAAAAAACTTTATGGAAAACATGGATACTTTAACACTTCGAAAAACTTTATCAAAAACTTTGACAATTTGAAAACCTTAATCAAAAACTTTAACACTTTAAAAACTTTATCAAAAACTTTGACACTTTGAAAAACTTTGGCGAAAACTTTGACACTTTGAAAAACTTTGGTGAAAACTTTGACACCTTGAAAAACTTGGATACTTTAACACTTCGAAAAACTTTATCGAAGACGTTGACACTTTGAAAAAGTTAATCGAAAACTTTATCACTTAAAAAAACTTTATTGAAAACTTTGACACTTTAAAAATCTTTATTGAAGACTTTGATACTTTGAAAAACTTTATCAAAAACTTTAACACTTTGAAAAACTTTATCGAAAACTTTGATACTTTTAATCACTTTATTGAAAACTTTGATACTTCAAAAAACTTTATGGAAAACATGGATACTTTAACACTTCGAAAAACTTTATCAAAAACTTTGACAATTTGAAAACCTTAATCAAAAACTTTAACACTTTAAAAACTTTATCAAAAACTTTGACACTTTGAAAAATTTTATTGAAAACATGGATACTTTAACACTTCGGAAAACTTTATCGAAGACTTTGACACTTTGAAAAAGTTTATCGAAAACTTTGATACTTAGAAAAACTTCATTGAAAACTTTGACACTTTGAAAAACTTCATTGAAAACTTAGACACTTTGAAAAAGTTTATCGACAACTTTTATACTTGAAAAAACTTTATTGAAAACTTTGATACTTGAAAAAACTTAATTAAAAACTTGGATACTTTAACACTTCGAAAAACTTTATCGAAGACTTTGACACTTTGAAAAACTTTATCGAAAAATTTGACACTTTAAAAAAACTTTGACTTTGGCGAAAACTTTGAAACTTTCAAAAAATTTGGCGAAAACTTTGACACTTTGAAAAACTCTGACGAAAACTTTGACACTTTGAAAAACTTTGGCAAAAACTTTGACACTTTGAAAAACTTTGGCGAAAACTTTGACACTTTGAAAAACTTTGGTGAAAACTTTGACACTTTGAAAAACTTTGGCAAAAAATTTGACACTTTGATTTACTATAGTTAACTATAGTTTGTTCAAAATCAATGAAGTTGTAGAAGAGAGATTTATTGTCCCTATCTTTCGCTTGGGTGTTAGAATTTAATACAACTTATTTAGTAAGTACAGTGTGTGTAACATTGGAAAAATTAATGGGCATAAGTGTCCTGGAAACAAAGCGTAAATTGAAGTGTAATGTAAAATTAAATAGAGATGAACCAACCCTGAATAAAAAGAATGATTGTCTTAAGCAAAAATAGCTAATATGGATTATTCAGAACGATGCCTCTATTGGTTAACCACTTTTACAGAAACTGTTTACAAATTGTTAATATGTCAGATCCCCAAAATAAATATGCAAATAAATTAAATGTGTCGGATTTTTTTTTTTACATTTCATTTTAAATACAACATGCGTACTTTTCCTGTGCACATGTTTAAAAGTTTGCACGAATTTTAATAGTACGCAAAGTCTCTGATAAGCGCAAAAAGGCAATATATTTTTTTTTAACATGCGCCAGCTGAGTAGACGAATGTTTTTGACCAAATATACACCGAACAAGTAGATGATGAGCGATTGTTTGATTGGTTATTGTACAATGATGAAAAACTCAAAATGTTTACCTAGACTTATTAGAATTAAAAATGATGATTAAAATAATAATTAACTAGTCTAAAGCTTGTTTGCGAAATAAACAAATATGCTAAAAAAAATAATTGGTGAAATGAATTCTTGTTGGACATTTTTTCAAATCCCGTAAAGATTCGATTACGTACAGAGCAAGTTCAATTCCCAGTAAGAAACGCGTAATGATAACGCCGAATATTCCTCCGTAATAATATAAACATATACATGTACCACATGCAAATTTAGAGGTACGTGTACAAGTATTGGGCATTAAAAAACTTTGTTATAATTTCTACACAAACTGAGATGTCAACCTTCTTTTTAAATTCACAATATTATATGACTACTTACAATAACTTTCATGTACTTGACTGAAAAACCTCTCTGTAAAAACTTGAAAAAATATGATAATTAGGCGCTTTTCTAAGAAATTCCCATAGGGTTCCATTATTAAAAAATCAAAAAAACCTTTGAGATGGCCCCTAGGAACTCGGGAGGTGTATATTCAATAATCTAAACATAATAACTATAATAGTGTAGCAGGGTTCTCCTTGGTCTTTTTGGTTGCAGTGGTCCCGACACAGTAAAGTTTTCTGCTACACAGTAACGGTTCGATCTGTATGCGTGCAACACAGTAAAGATTTTGTCAAAAGAGTAAGAGATATGATAATCACAAAATCCAAATATTTAAATTCTCTCTAATTGATAAAACGAAAACAATTCTACTGCCTTTCAATTCTAAAAGGTATGACACTTAAATAGGTCTTCACCTTGCATAATCAATGATCTCTTAGACATCACTGGACTTTAAGCCTGAAGGAACAAATACAACAAATTGGTTTTAAAAATTCCCTGTAAAGTTAAATTGGTAATTGTAATTAAAAATACTTTGTTCTATTTAAAAAAAAATTAAATATTTCTTTTCAAAAGAGTCACGGCTCTAGAGTAGAATAATGTTGGCAATGTAAGTCAAACAAAACATCGTTCCAAAATCATTTTATTGATGTTACATGTAATTTTTTTATTGATAATTTCAAGACACTTAATTTAAAAAGTATTTTACTATTCTGAAGTTTCTCTTTTTTTGTAATTCGGTAATTTGATCAAGAAAACAGACAAAAAATTGCGGCAAATCTACTCTCAAAAATGGTAATTCATTCGAATGTATTGACCAGAATTTCCTCTTCTCTTCAGAACAGGTATTTTAATTTTTATCCATAGGTACGATCATGCCATTTGTGTAACGAATAAGTGATTTTTATAAAGTGTGTACATGTATAAAGGAGTAGTGATTCAGTTTGGAATTTAATCGGGAAAATACCGCAAATTTTTTCTGCTGTGCATAAACTCTGCAACAGAGTCAAATTTCAAACAATTGAGAACCTCGAATGTTTATTAATATTATTTTAAAAATAAAAATAATTTGTAGAAAAAATAGACTTGGTCTAGTTAAAGACAACATTTGTTAAGAAGAGCTTTGTGATCTCTTATTACCTTTTTGTATTTATCATTCTGTAATATTCCGTTTATAGAATGCCTTCCACAATTTTTTCGAATCGCGAGATATTGGTATGCTTTGAGTAGGATCCAGTCTTCCGTTTTTTACCTTAAAATTATTTAACTTGGAACAAGGACTTTTCCAGGGCATTCATTAAATCAATTTTCTGCTTTTTGAAGTATTGATGCTACTGAGTAATACACACAAACTGTTTCTTTTGACATACCAAATAGGTATATGTTAATGAGCAGAAGAAAACTGATCAAAGTGAATTACGCTAACAAGACCTGGCCTTGTGACCATAAACACAAAAAATTCTCAGACAAAATATGTTCTCAAGGTTTAAGAATTTCCTCAGCTGAGAATTCCTCAAAAATCGTAGACCATAAACAGACTTGAGAAAATTCTCACATAAGAAATTTCTTGACTCGTTAATTTGCGCTTTGACGCGCGCGTTGCTGTTTCCAAGGATTTTTACCACTGGCTGTGGAACTCTTCAGATTTTTATGGTAAGAAAGTCATAACAACAATAAACAAGAGTAATAAATAAATATTCGTCTGCTTATTTGTATATGTACATGTAAAATGGCGAAAAGGTCGGCAAATTGGACAACGGATGAGGAAATTGTTTTGGTGGAAGAGGTTGGGAAGAGGGAAGATGTACTTTTTGGGAAAATGAAAGGGGACGGAACGGTAAAAAATGGAGAAATTAGGTCTAAGGGGTGGAAGGAAATTTGTGATGTGTTAAACGCGTAAGTTGTAAATGTTGAACATTTAAAAACAAAATATTTCATAAAACAATTCAAAGGCACACGATATTTATAAATCAAAAGGTTCTTGTTACATGCTCAATGCGACTTATGATACTGGAAAACCCCTGAATCTAATTTAAGATCAAGTGAATGATAACAAAAAGGATTGACTTCCCTTTGTTAAGCTGGGACCAATGGAATATTTATAATATGGAATATTTATAATATGTCCCTACAATCGAAAAAAAAAGAAATAGAAATTAGAAATCGGCCTTGAATTACAAGTACATTTAGATACCTTCGATATTTGTGAAAATTCCTTATAAAGTTCTTCTACGTTAGAATGTTTCGATCCAGTAATCCACCATGCTCAGCTTCTGGATTATGCAAACTCGCTTGTCCAAAATGGCTATATAAACAGGGTTTTCAATTACCCAATATGTCTTTTTCGTCTCTGTGCAATGTGTTTTTGTAGAATAACCATTTTCTCATTCACTTTTTTAAAAAAGTATTTCTGAACATGTAACATTCGTCCATATTTTTTGAACCCCAACAAAAATTATGTCGCACGTCATTCTTGGGGGTTCAAGAGGGGTATCTATGAAATCGGGTTGAAAAAAGTACATGTATTGACCATCCCATTTTATATAGGCAAGGACAAACTTGATCAAATAAAGAGACCAAAAACTGGGGGAGGTAAACCCATAGCTTTGACCACAGCACAGGATCTTTTTCTTCAGTCCTTGGAGGGAAGACCTCAGATAGAGGGAATCGCATCCGGGATTGATACAGACGGCAAGAATTCAATATTATTCAATTTTAAATTTTATTAATGATGATTTTAACAAATGAAATTAGAAGATTATATACTATATAATAATGATACATTTTACTCAATTTAGTAAGCGTAAGGTATTTGTTTTAAAAATAGAAATATCAGGATTTGACAGCACAGTTGGCGATGGTCCTACATGTAGTGACAGTGCCATTCAAGAGGAAAACCAGTGTAAATAATTTTATTAAGTATTTTCATTCGAAGTAAAAATTTATTTCTCTATATTTCGTTTTAAAAAATCAAAATCCTGGATAAAATTATCATTTTTTATTCATACAATTTAACAGTCTCAAAGACAAGCCAAGGTATTGCAGATGCACAAGAACTATATATAAACAAATCAACATCTTCGACTGCTACATCTACGAATTACACGTATAGAAAATCAAAAAAAAAGGTAAAATATGTTATATTTAGCAATACACAGTATTGCGTTCTTGACCCTCGCAATTAATAAATACTAGTACTAATCAATAAATCAGATTACTGTTTCTTTTTACATATAAAGCTGATACACGCAACAATACACGCAACAGGGGGAAGTTAGCAGAACTTGAAGAAGAAAATATGACGTTGGATAACCAGAGGCTTCGGATGCAAATTAACCAACAAAATGCCAACAAAGAAATCATGACACTCAAAAAGGAAATTTTAATGCCCAAGAAATCAAAACTGGAATTTGAAATCCTGGCTAACATATCCATTTTTTACTGAACCACTTTCCACAAATCAATGTACAGATATTTCTGAGTGTTAAAGGCATTTATGAACTTAGAGAGAATGTTCTTATCGTAGTTATAGTTTATGAATGGCGGAAGGTTTGATACGCTCACTTAAATGAGTTAAATCACATTTTATGTAGAGAATCAATGGAGGTAAGAAAATATTCAATAGGAATACACATATTTTGTAGATAAATGAATGTGTATTATACGAGTTGAAAGTAAGAAGGATTAAGCTGATCGAGCGTTATATCATTCGAGTTATATGAAATGGTAATAAAATTTATGATATCTCTGTCCACTAATTTTCATTTCTACTGAGATTTGACAAATGCATATCAATATTACCTGTATATTTTCCCGTAAAGACTGCCGGATTGCATTGGTAAATTATGCTTCAATTGTATTCGTATGATTAAATGAACAGTAACTGTCAATTGAATATAGCAAAATAACTCAAGAGAAAAATAAATCTGCAATTTCATCTCTCTTCCTACAACCATCGTTACTAGGCGGAATTCGATCTACATTCATGGCATGATTTATGCATTCCTGTAAATCAAAATCAATCTGCGCAATTACTGCTGATGAAAATATCCGATTTTTCTATCCCTATGTTGTGTAGTATGACACAAGCAGTGATGTAATCAACAGCTTGTTCGGGTGAACATCTCAGACCGTAATGAAGGCACTGAAACCGCTTCTTTAAAACCCCATAGGTTTGTTCTATGAGAACACGGGTACGGCACAACGAGCTGTTGAAGTTTTCCTGGGCTCGGTTTGAAGGTACATTATAAGGAGTCATGAGGAAATGTATACAGGGGTATCCAGAATCTCCAAGTAAAAGTCCACGGTGTATTCCTAAAAAAACGTTAAATTTTTCAATCAATAATTGCCATACATATTACACATACATGTACATGCGCAGATCTATCATTGTATCGCCCTAAAAAATCCTGGATCCGTGTATGTCATATAATATGTTGTTGAGACTGTATATAGTTTTATTATTTCAGTTTACTTTATGAAAAAAGAAAGGAATTAATTTTAACAGTACATTTTATAGATATTCACGTTTCTAACTTATTCTTACCTCTCTCGAATTGATGGCATAGCACGGATGATCTCCATACCCTACTGTAGTGTGTTGACCCGGGCCATCTTGCACATAGTGATGTAATTCGAAAATTGGGGTCTGCATATATTATAGTATATATTAAATATATATATTATATACCTGGTTATTTCATACATAACTCAATACTAATTTGAAGCAAAATATGCCATTTCAAGCACCTTTTTAACCTTTAATAAACTTAATTGTTTATCATTTCTGAACGGATGTATTCAATTTTGTTTCCCCAATATGAAATAATACATGCAATAATGCCTGCACATTCAATGAATGGTAACCCTTTCTATTTACATAGTCTACTTCGTTTTCAGATGGAATCGTAATTTTGATAAAAGTGCCGTCCACGCATTCTAGTACTTGGGGGAAACCTAAACAAATAAAACATGAGACTACAAACAGGACCATTTTTAAAAGTGTTTTTAAGATGCATGTAGACAGAACCTTTTTTCAGGAAAACTTGAAAATTATATATTTAAATTATATTAAATACTTTCCAGAGCTATCTGCAAAACAACTTTAAACAGTTTTAAACTATTGAAATGTTACTGATTGAAATAAAAAAAATATATCATAATTCAGGGAAAAGGAAATTTACAGAATGTCGAAAATCTTTTCGTTTGGGATGGGTGTGTGTTAGGGTGTGTATGTGTGTAAAAAGGTTAAGTTCGAAATTCTTGCACTCAATGAACAGTTTCTGTATTTAAGGGGGCCGACTATAGTTTCCATTGCGCAATATTTCGCGCATCATAGTAAAATGAAGCGTATTTACTGTTTTAATGCAACTTTTTTACTCTTAATTATCAAAATTAAACAAAATCAAGAAATTATAGGTATAAAAATGCAATTACAATTTGATATAACTGATTTTTTTAACCGATTTTGCAATGGATAGGTTGGTTGACGTCGTTGCAGTGTCTTTTTGGCGTTACTTTAATCTGTAGCTCTTAAAGAAAGGGATAATAAAAATATTATTAAAGAAAAAGTAATAAACATACGCTCTTGAAATCAGTGGCGTAGCATCGTTTTTGAAAGTGGGGGGGGGGGGGCAGCCAGAGAAAAATTCTTTTTTACTTACCTGAAAAAGTTGACAAGCAAAAATAAAAAAAAGGGGGGGGGGGGGGGAGGAAAAGGTTGCCCAAAGTCGAAAATCTCGTGGGGGGGGGGGGGGGGGGGTAAGGTAAACTTTTTCTCAATTCTGATACTACATTTTATGTACTACAACACTAAAAGTCTAAAAGTGAGGGGGCCAACCAGGCTTTCAATTAACATTTCTTATAGTACTAGTATAAGTACGGTTGGGGAAAAAGGTGGGGGGGGGGCAGGCCCCCACTGCCCCCTCCCCCCTGTTGCTACACCCCTGGAAATTTAATACATAGAAATTTTAGAATATCTCCAATATTTTTATTATGTTTTCATGTGAATCCATTTTGTAGTACTCTATTATAATAGTAAAATTTGGTAATTTTTTTTGCATTCTGAGATGCCCCCTCGTTATATATTCACCAATGAAAAATTTTGGTGATGAGACCCTTTATACCAACAATTAAAAGGTAAATACCTAAGTGTTTATCTTTTCTTTTTATATTTTATATTTTTTGCATATATATGCATATATATTATATATTTTGCATTATATATTATACTTATATATTTATATATATTATTCTTTCTGCATTTTATATTCCAAATATGCCTATTTGAAATTCATTAACAATTTAATTTCTCTCTTAGATTTTTTGACTATACATATTTTAATCTAGGTGGCGCTTTTGTATGTTGTCATTCATGAACTAAGCGACATTTGCGTGGGTAAGTTCAAGTTTTGATTTCATCTGTTTGTTAAAGAAACAAATATTGCAATGCAGAATAAGAAACAATAAATACCTGCAATTCGTCTAAAACCCTCCATTGCTCTGTAGGCAACTTCTCTGACGGGAAAGGCGATGAATCTTAAGAAAACACGGATGATCAAAGAGGTAACAGCCCTAATTTCCCTCCCTGCAGCATTTCTTGAAATATTTAAACTGTCTCCTATAAGAAGATGTGTTGCCCCAGTGGCCAGAAATCTTAAGCAAAGTAAGATAGAGAGAATTGGCGAGAGGGCCATGTTCCGGTGTGTATCCCGTTCCAAATTTCCTCTAATTTCGTCATGAATGAAGAGAATTGATGCCCTTCGGAACCGGTACCTCTCAAATAATTCATTGTCATCCAAGGCAAGGGGATCCTTTCTGTCACGGAACACCCGAGGAACTGGCAGTGCCCTGCGATAGCGTCTATTACGTCTGTGTACGGCTGCCATTTTGAGACTGAGAATTTACTTAAGTCTGCTATTAACCAAACTTAAGAATTTTCTTATTCTGAGAACAAATTTTGTCTGAGAATTTTTCATGGTCTGCAATCGTTCTCAATTTGAGAAAAAAATAAAATTCTGAGAAAAAAATTGAGTTGAGAACTTTTTTGTCTGAGAATTGTTTTATGGTCACAAAGCCTGGATACTGAATCTCAGTATTAATTTACATTGGCATTTAAAAAGAAGCCATTAAAGATGGCTTTTTATTAAAGAAGCCATTTAAAAAATACCAACGACTTCAAGTAAGACATAGGAAACAGGGTCAGGAATTCGCATAACACAATTCAAAAACGGTACCTTGTAAACTTAATTCACAACAAACTTTGTGACATTAATGCTGCTACTGTGCAAAATAGTGAGCAAACATAAACACTGAAATTCATTCATGATTGCAATATCTTCAATAAAATTGCAATACATCGTTTTTATCATTATCATTATCTTTCAATTGTACGTTTGTCAGCAAAATATTTCCAAATTGTGCACAAAGAGTGTAAAATTTTAGCTTTTTTTGACATCTTTGCATTTGTATTATTTAAAAATCAATTCATAATACCATGAATATTTGAAGGGGAAAAATATTTAAGGAATCACTGTCTAGTTAGTATAGTATGCCAGGGCACCGTTATGCATAAATTATTACATGTTTCCCACTATCGTTGATGTTCCTGGTATTAAGACATTGTGTATATTTTTCTTTCTAATGAACGTCTTTCGCTGAAAATTCGCATATACGTTTCACAAACAATTAAGATTTATAAAAGCAATAAATACCTTATAAATATCAATTTGCTAATCTTCAATGGTCTAAAAATGTGTCAATGGTAGGGGTATCCGGCGCAGTCACAAAATCAAATATTTAAGAGGCAGTCCGCCGAAAACCAGGCAGGGTTGTATTAATAGGCGGCACATCGAATGTGACGAATATTTGAAATTTTATTGAAAACAATGTCAATGTAGTCTAAATGGAATAATGTAATCAAAGATTTGTTTTAATATTGCTTATATAGTAAAATATCCTTTTGTTTCGTGTTCTTGAATTCCCCTATATAAACCATTGAATTTAGGTCAGAAACAACGAACTGTAATTTCCGATACTTATTTAACAGGACTATAATTCATGCTGAACTAAATCTAGAAATATTTCGTCTTTCAGTTTCAAAAATAAAATTGGTGGGCAAAACACTTTTGATTGTAGTTTTCTGTCAAAATATATAGACGTTTTTATGAAATTTTGCGATGTAAGAGTTATCTCCTGTGGCATCGGTAAATCTGCTAAACACTTTACTATCGAAATCCTAGTGAAATATTAAGAATATATACACAAAATAAAATTGTTTAACAAAAAATTACTACTTTTTTTCAAAATAGAATTCATTTTCGCCTCCAAACGTAATATTTAGATTAAGATTGGCAGTATTATTCAGGTTGAATCCACGTTTCCATTGATGTATCAGTGACGTCATATACCTGACTAATATTGCGTCACAATTAAGGTAGGACAAAA